TTGGACACACTTCCAGGCAGTGTCCCAGAGCTGGACAGGGACAACAGGTGCAGCAGGGATAGAGGGCACCATTACCTTTACCCGTTCCACAGATTCCGCACATTCAGGGACAGACCTTCCCCGGCTTTACCAGCACCGCCGCAGCCACAGGGACAGGCACCGTAGTAATTGCATTATGGTAGGGTGTACAACCCTATGCCACAGGCTGTTCAGGCACCCCAGGCTGTTGAGGGTATGTTTCCTATTTATGGTTCATTGGGGCATGTTTTATTTGATACGGGAGCTACACACTCATTTGTTTCTAAATCTTTTGTTATTTTATCTGGGATGACGACGCGGGTATACAGTAGACCTCAGGGTATTTCTACACCTTTAGGCAAAACAGCCATTTTACATGAGAGTGATGGGCTTGTGACACTAGATATTGGTAGACTCAGATTTCTAGCTAATCTATTGGTCCTGGACATACACACTTATGATGTGATACTTGGGATGGATTGGTTATCACACTACCATGCCCAAGTTAATTGTTATGATAAGTTTGTTGTTTTCACCATATCTAGTCAGGATATGTACGTCGTCGCTATGCCACGTTCTAACGGGGTTGCTAGCACTTATTTGTTCCATATGGAGGAAGAAATGGAGGAGGAGGTTACTGTGTCATTGGATATCATACCAATTGTATAGGACTTTCCAGATGTGTTTTAAGAGATTCCAGGGTTGCCACATAGTCGCGAGATAGATTTAGTGATTGACTTGACTCCGGGCACTATGCCTATTGCTAGGGCACCATACAGGATGGCACCTGTGGAGATGAGAGAGCTGAAGGATCAGATTCAGCAATTACTCAGCCAAGGTTTTATTCGTAGGAGTACTTCACCCTAGGGAGCACCAGTTCTGTTTGTGAAGAAGAATGATGGTTCACTCCGCTTGTGTATATATTACAGGGAGTTGAACAAGGTTACTGTTCGTAACAAGTATCCGTTACCCAGAATTGATGATCTTTTTGATCAGTTGAAGGGAGCTACATACTTCTCTAAATTTAATCTGCGTTCTGGATATCATCAATTTCAAATAAATTAAAAACAAAGAATTTTGAACCATTTGTTTCACTTTTGGTAAATGTAACTAATGTATCTCACCATGACATTACAATAAAATATAATAATAATTTTATTATAAAATTATAATATTATAATGAAAAGATTTAGATCTTTATTAGGAAATAGTTAGAAATAGAATAAAATAGAAAAAATAAAATTGTTTTAACCTTGAAGAATTCTGAGCATAATAGCATTTATTTTAATTGGTAACTTATTTTATTATTTGATAAATTATTTTATTTTTTTATCTATAAATTATTTGAAACATCTTGATCGAATTTTAATTAAACAATTACCTATTTTATTTTAATTGGTAATTTATTTAATGATTTGAAACATCTTGATTGAATTTTAATTAAACAATTTCCTATTCAATTTTAATTTGTAATTTATTTTATTATTTGGTAAATTATTTTATTAAATAGTTTTATTTTATTTGGTAACTTTTAGGATTTATTTTAATTGGTAACTTATTTTATTATTTTGTAAATTATTTTATTATTTTATCTATAAATTATTTGAAACATTTTGATTGAATTTTAATTAAACAATTACCTATTTAATTTTAATTGGTAATTTACTTTATTATATTGGTAACTTATAGGATTTATTTTAATTGGTAACTTATTTTATTTTTTGGTATATTATTTTATTTATAAATGATTTGAAATATTTAGATTGAATTTCAATTAAATAATTACCTATTTAATTTTAATTGATAATTTATTTTATTATTTAAAACATCTTGTTTACTTTCAATTAAACAATATCTTATTTAATTTTAATTGATAAGTTATTTTATTATTTGCTAAATTGTTTTATTAAATAATTACCTACTTTATAATTAAAAACTAACTTAACGAAATCGCGGGGACAGTGAAGAAGCGATAAAAGATGGAGATAACTTGTCTGTTTCGCAGATTCTTTGTTTTATTACATGTGTATTATTTTTTGTTTTGTTTTGTTTTCTTTAATTAAAGAAACGCCATACGACATTTACACGGATTATTGCTAAAATTATGGAGTCATGACTTGCTCTGGTTCTGAATCATCTAATTGGAGTATGGCAAGATGCTTTTGTTAAAGGTAAAAGACTGCAGGATGCCATGATTGTTGCACATGATTTAATCAGAAATTTCAACTGCAAAAACCACTCCTCAATGGCTCTGAAAGTGGATTTGAAAAAAATCTTATGATTCAGTTTCATGGCAATTTTTAACTTCTCTATTGAAGAATTATGGTTTTGGTGAAAGCTGGATTCACTGGGTTCAAGAGTGTGTTTGCTCAGTGCATTATTCTATATATATATATATATTTCTATACCTAAAAAAATATATATATATACATATATATATTTTTTAGGTAAAGATTATTCTATATTGTTGAATGGCTCTCCAGTGGGTTTTTTTTCAGCCTAAAAGAGGTTTAAGGCAAAGATGTCCTCTCTCCACTCTTATCTTCACTTTGGTTACAGAGTACTTTTCTTTCATGGTTTAGAATTATCTTTATTGTGTGTGATGGTGACATGGACATCAAAGGACCAAAAACAAAATTAACAAAAGTAGCATTAAAGTTCTATTATAATAATGTACTTGATTTATAATTATTTTATTTTTAATAATGAACAATTATAATAATCTATTTCAAGAAAATATGCTAAAAATCAATGAACATCAAATCTACAAACATGTATCAGTCTTCTTTTCTCTTTCAATGCGCTAACTCTTTTGTTTTTTGTCGTTTACAGAATATGTCTAATTAGAATTTTGTTAACCACTTTAAATTATATTTAATAAAAAATTCTTTAATATTCATTCTATGGTCATTAGATATGTAATTAACAGAAAAATTATTATTTAAATTTTCTTATTGGTACTTAATCTATTTGAGTTTAATAAATTATATATGTCTAAGTTGTTTTTATTTTATATAGTAGAATTTTACAAATATTTATTGCTTATATATATAGTTAATAAAATAAAAACAATACAATTATTGATCAATATATATTATTCACTTCTTACAATTTTTCTTGATAGTCAAATATTTGTTTATGAATATTATTAAAAATCAATGAAGAAAGTAGGTTGAAGAATATACATGTGTTAGCAAGTGAATGAATCTAATAATTAATTTTTATCAATTGGCGGATCTCAAAAAAATATCTTCAATCGATTGCCAGATGGACAACAGAATGATATACACCCCTCAAAAATTGGAGCACGCGGCAACACTCATCATACCCATGTACCATAAATTGATGTACAAAAATAGAATAATTTATATAAAATTGAAAAACAATTCAAACACATGAATAGTTAAGATTGCATCTCCCATATATAATTACATAGATATTTGTTTATTGATATAATAATCAAAATTAATGGCTCCAGAAACAAAAACAAAAAGAAGAATTTTAAAAAAAAATTGCAAAGTATTGAAATTTGAAAAATATTACAGTTTTCGTTCAAAATTTTGTACGAATCAAAATTTCTATTTGAGTACCATGAAAGGTATTATGAAAATGAAAAAGAAGATAATGTTGTTATGAAAAATTGAAAAGATATAGAAAGGAGTTATAAAAAACTAATTAGATACCAAGAGGCTAATGGCATAGCGGTATCAGGCTTCTACTTTCTAAAGAGAGATCATATGACACAAAATTGAATATAAATTCCAAAGGAAAGAAATTAAATAAAAACTCTATTAATTCTTATTTTAAAAATGAATATAGAAATATGTTTTTTTTATTAAATAAAATATATGATTGAAACTCAAATTGGAATAAAATATATGATTGAAACTCAAATTGGATAAAATATAAGATGAAAACTCAAATTGGATAGAAACTCTAAGAACTTCTTGTATTTTTAATAAAGTAATGATAGGGGAACCGAAAAGGAATTTCCGAATTAACATCGAAACTCAAACTGGATAAAATATAAGATGGAACTCAAATGAGATAAAATATAAGATAGAAACTCAAACCGGATAAAATATAAGTTGGAAACTCAAACTTCTTGTACTTAATATAGATATAGATTTTAAAAATAGTATTTTTTTTTTTAAAACTAAATAAATTATAGGATGGAACTCAAATTGGATAAAATTTAGGATAAAAACTCAAAGGAGATATGGAAATAGATAAATTTACTCTTTTTTTTTTTTTTTTCCATTATAATAATAATTTAAGTCTATTAAAATACAAAAAATTTAGTATATTATTTACTTATTTTTATTTATAATGCATTTTAAATACGTTTAAGTACATTATTTAAAGTTTGAGTATTTTATTTATGTATTTTATTTACAATGCATAAAATCATAATTAAGGAATCCATGTATAAGAATACTTACAATTCACATACAAATATCAATTAATATAGAGTATGCACATATAATTCAAAAAATAAAAATAAAAGTTTTGGCTCACTTAACAAGTGTTTATTGAAAACTGTATTTTTTTTTAATGAATTTGCGTAGTTAGATTATAGATATATGGATAAATTAATTCTTATAAAAGATTTTTACATATAAAACTTTTAATTGTTGAGCATAATTTGCTCCATTGCCCTAATTTTTTTTGCTCAAAAAAAAATTTCCTCGACGAAGTATTGCTTTTTCACTAATATTAAAATGAATTTTTTGTTTCTTACTGTAATTATTTTATTTATATTCTATGCTATTATTAAAAATACAAAAAATTAATTGCAGTTGTTTAATTTTTTAATAATTTAAATTTTTTTTTTTCAGTTCTATTCTTTTTCTAACTCTCTTTTTCAGAGTTCATATTTTCACTAATATCAAACACAAAGGAATAAGAAAAAGAAAAAAGAAGCAGACGAAAAATCGAAACCCTAATCGAATCAACTCACACTCCAAAAAAGAAAGGTAGTGCTTCTTTTGTCCAGTTCTTTCCCTCATCACCATTGGTTTAACATTCGATCGATCCACATAACTTTACTCAGAAAGATCATCTCATCCTTTTTTTTAAGTCTTCGCACTCCGATTGGTTCTCAAGAAAACGCAGAAAAAGTAAAGAATCAGAACTCCATATCTTATATCCGTCCGAAAGTTGTACACCAACACTCACGACTGTTATCTCAAATATATATATTTTTTCTCACAGTTTCTCGGCGAACAAACAGGACGAATACATATAATTTGTGAGTTCTGATTTCGGTTTTGATTTTTGTTTCTCTGATTGTTTGTAGGTTTAGAATGGCGGATAAGGCGATCGTCAACGGCGTAGCAACGGACGCCGCCGTTGATCGGACGGTGGTTATCAGTGGAAAGGAAGACCGCGACGACGTTTTCGAGGATTTTGGTGAGAACGACGCGAAGAACTCAGATTCGACCCAAAGGATTGCGGGTTTAGAACAAGAGAAAGTTCAATTGGGTGAGGAAAACAAAGCTATGAGGGAGAGGGTTGTGAAATTGAGTGAAGAGATCAAAGGGTTGGAGAGCGAAAAGGAAGAGATGAAGAGAGAGATAGATCAGTCTGTAGCCGACAGGAGAGCTTTGGAATCCATTGCTGCTAGGGCAGCCGAGCTTGAGACTGAGGTCTCAAGGCTTCAACACGATCTGATTTCTTCGATGACAGAAGGAGAGGAAGCGAAATTGGAGGTATCGGAATTGAAGAGAGCAGTGGAGGAGCTGAGGAGGAGCGATTCGGAGAATGGGTTGAAGGTGGAGGTGCTTGAGAAGGAGAGGAATTTGTTGTTGGAAAGGGTAGGAAAGGAGGCAGAGAATGAAAGTCAAATTCGTGATCTGGAGAAGAAAATCGAGACGTTGGAGGCCAGAGAGAGTACTCAGAATGTTGAGAGAATTAAGATTGAGGAAGAGGCAAGGGGGATGATTGATGAAAGAGAGAGTGAAATTCGTCAACTGAAGAAGTGGGTTGAAGAGTTGGATTCCAAGGGTTTGAAGAGTGGTTTGGAGATTGAGAGGTTGAAGAAGGAGAAGGAAGAGCTGCAGATTATGAAGAACGAATTGGAAGCACTTTTGAAGAAATCAGATAGGAAGACAAAGGAGATGGAATCCAAGATTGAGAAATTAGAAAAGGAATTGGAGGCAGCGGAGCAGATGATGATAAGCGGGCTGAAGGCGAAATCGGCAGAAGGTGTTAATGGCAAGGCGGTGGTTATGGATGAGGTTGTTATTGAAGAAGGGCAAAAGGGATCAATGGGTTTGTTGAAGCAGCAGTGGCCAATGCTGGCAGCATCAACTGGAGCAATTGCTGCAGTGGCCGTTGTGTGCTACCTTCGCTACGGAAGGCAAAGGTGATTGGGTGGTATTTAGGAAATGATAGAACATGCATGAAGAAACTTGCAGAATTTTGGTTTTCATTTCAAGTGCTAAAATGGTTTGATTTTGTTAGGTGCTGTGCTTTTGCTTCGCTTTGTTATCGAGTATTTTAGTTCAATATTAGAAGTTAAAGAAAGTTATTCTGTTTTGCGAAAAAGTAATATTCACAACATTTTCTCCTAACCTTTCAGTTGGTTTGCTATGTATCAAACACGATCATTGTTGTTACTTGGATGTAAGGATATGCTCGAGTTTATGTACTATTTTAGGCCAACAAATTAAGGTTGAATCATGCAACAGAAAACATAATATTGTTTGGTATTTCACATTACTCATTGCAGTGCTCCATTAGTATATTGTGGTTGGTTATTGTGATTGCATGAATTTGACACTTTTCAGGAGGCTCTTATTGGTTATATGCCTGATATTTCTATATTACTATCTGCCTTCATTTCATTGCGATCTGAAAGTCGTAGATGCTGATTGAGACCATCGATGATAATTCTTTATTACTATATGCGTTCATTTAATTACGATCTGAAAGGTGTAGATGCTGATTGAGACCATCGATTCTAGCAATTTATTACCATTTGTTTCATTATTTGCTGTTCTCTGTTTATATTGATGATTAATTTTGGATAATACTCCTAATATGTCTCTTTAGGAGGTTGATTCCTTCCCGAGAGGGGTTGAATTCTAGTCGGCATATATATCGTACGACACTTGTGCCCCATGGTATAGTTTTGAATCGCGTATGAGTGTTGTCACTAAGGGAAGATCTGGCTCCCACCTAAATCCCCATTGGCCTCATTATATTACTATTTTTTAAGTCTTAAGCCTCATATCTAGAGGATGTTTAAATGCTGTGCTGAATTTCAATTTAATATTGTATTTTGAGTTTGAACTAAAAATTGGTTTGATGAGTGTTGTTAGGTGTCTTTCTGTTTTAGGAACACATATGGTAACTCTAATTGTTGTTTACTCCAAGTCTAGGGGCAGATAAGTTTGATACCCCTTTCTGCATGGTCCAGGGTATTATTTGCATCATGCATCTGCATTTTACAGATTTCTTATCATAATTTCTGAATTTTGACATTACATTAGGATTAGAATATAGTTCTATTATCACATTGCTCTGTACTCATATTCATTTGTTAAACGATCATACACATGCTCTACTTACTGGCAGCTTCGTGGGGAAATTATGTTGTTACTTTTTTTTTTATATTCGTTTTTCAGAAAAAAGTTGATTCTTCCCTGCTTTTTCCTTGAATTTGAGTAGTTCCTCCAATCTTGAAAATTGCAAACTGTCATGCTATTGGGAATGCCCTGAATGTAGTTTTGCAGTAGTTCTCTAATCTCCTGCCTTGAGTCTATGAAAAATGCAAGCGTATGCAGATGCAACATAATTATGCAGATTACTCATTGTAGTGCTCCATTAGTATATTGTGGTTGGATATTGTGATTGCATGAATTTGACACTTTTCAAGAGGCTCTTATTGGTTATATGTCTGTTGATTCTTTATTACTATCTGCGTTGCAAATTACCCTCGTGCGCTTTTGATAAGATAATCATTTAATTACGAATCTGAAAGAGGTATAGATGCTGATTGAGACCATCAATTCTAGCAATTTATTGCCATTTGTTTCATTATTTGCTGTTCTCTATTTATATTGATGATTAATTTTTTATAATACTCCTACTACCTCTCTTCAGGAGGTTGATTCCTTCCCGAGAGGGGTTGAATTCTAGTTGCCAGATATATTCTACAACGCTTGTTTTCTATGATCTGGTTTTGAATCATGCGTGAGTGTTGTCACTAAGGGAAGATCTAGCTCCCATGTAAATCCCCTATGTTCTCTTTCGTGTTACTTTATTTGCCTGCTTGTGTCAGTGAAGTAAGCCTAATATCTAGAGGATGTTGTCTAAAGCTATGCTGAAGTACAATTTATGCTCCATTTGGTAGGAAGGAAGAAAATTGGATGGAAGGGAGATAAGAAGGGATGGACGAGACATCTCTAGGGAAAGGATAGCGATCTCCTCTCTTTTTGTTTGGTTGGATGGAAGAGAACTTTGTTTGTTTGTTAAGAGAGAAGGGGGGAAGAGATTGCTAATAAATGGGTTCATCCAATAATTATGAAGGGCTTCTACTCTTCCTTCCTCCTTTTCCTCCATATATGGAGGGAAATGAATTTGTGAAGCCGGAAGGATGTCTCTTATCCATCTCTTTTTTATTTTTTTTTTCTTCTTCTTCTTCCCTCTTTGTTTCCTCTCTACCAAATGAAAGAAGATTGTTTCTTCCTTCCTATCTTTCCTCCACCCCTATTTCGATTAATGTCTTGTTTTGAGTTTGAACTAAAAATTGGTTTGATGAAGTGGTGTTAGGTGTTTTTCTGTTTTAGGAACACATCTCTCATTGAAAATCATTGAAACGGATTTCAGTGCGAGAACAAAATGGTAAAACTAAGGTGCTGTTTGATAATAACTGACGCTTACCGTTTTCATTGATATTCAAATTGCATTTGATATTGGGTAAGCATTTAATCAAGTGCTGAATTGAGTTTTCAAACAACACCTAATTGTTGTTTACTCCAAGTCTAGACTAGAGGTAGATAAGTTTGATACCCTTTTCTGCATGGTCCAGGGATAATTTGCATCATGCATCTGCTTTTACAGAATTCTTATCTTAATTTCTGAATTTGAACGTTACATTAGGATTAGAATATAGTTCGATTATCACATTGCTCTAGTACTCGTATCCATCTATTTACTGGCAGCTTTGTGGGGAAATTATGCAGTTACATTTTTTTTTTTTAAGAAAAGCATTGATTCTTCCCTGCTTTTTCTTTGTATTTGAGGAGTGCCTTCAAACTTGAAAATTGCAATTTGTCGTACTTTTGGGAATGGCCTGAATGTAGTTTTGCTGTAGTTCTCTATTATGCTACACCGAGTCTATGAAAAAGGAAACCGTACGCAGATGCAACATAGTCTTAGAAGAAAATTAGAGCATAATGCTTGAAAATGGTTGTGTATACTAGGTAATTTGAAGTACTTTTAAGGATATTGTCATATTCATCTTGTGTTAATCCTTTGATACATAGAGCTTGTCCCAGAATCCCTTTGCAGGGAGATCGATTCCTAATTTGTTGTGTTTGGGAAAACTTCCTCTATATCCATCCTCACTGCTAATGGGAGACATTTGATGGGTTTAAGACTTTTCTTTTGCCAATATACATACCTTGAAAGAAGTAGTTTGTACTTTTCATGGCCTCTATTTACGCTTGCTGAATTTTTACCTTATCTAGGTGAAACACTAACAAAGGAAAGGCTCAGATTTTCACTCTATTTAGTGCCTCAGGTATTTCAAGGGTGCTTTTGGATTTTCTGAAAAGAGGATCAGAAAAGTAATTAAAATTTTGAACTTGAAGCGTTATAAAAGAAAATTTTGATGGTTGTTCATAATCATGGGGCGTGGCCTGCTATTTAATTGGTTTTATGGTTAAGATTGTCAAAAGGACCTTATAGTGTGGCTCAGGCCGAGACTGTGCAATAGGAGAAGATAATTATGTTATTTGGATTAAATAATAATAAATGAGATATTGGGTGAATAAGGCACCACCTGCCATTATCCCGATACAAATTCTCATCGTTTTGGGTAGCTCTAAGTGAATTAGAGCCGGCTCTAAGTGGTTTTGAGCAGGCTCTAAATTTTTAAAGAGCCTGCTCTCTCCTAAAATGCTACAGATTTGATTTTTTAGGGGCTGTTTGGGCAGTGACACTTACAACTAACACTCGCAACTATTTAGTGTAAGAATCATTTTTTTATTTGAGAAATGAAATTGTATACCAACATTACAACTATTTGGTGTAAAAATTATTTTATTTAAGAAATCAAGTTGTATCCCAACATCAAAATTTTATATATTCTATATTTTCTATTAAAAATATATGAAGTATATTCTAAAATTTGGTCCAAAGCCCAAAATTGGTATGAGAATCCAATATTTAAATTAACCTTAGTTAAAATAATTATATGATTTTATTTTATTTTATTTATTTTTTTCATGCCAAATAAAACACCAGAGGATTATAGCACAATGACATCTTCTATGTTGCTACACTGAGAGTATCTCTAGCAATCTATTAAGATACATTGTCATGTCACCAATGTATAAAATTGTCATGTATTTTACATAGCCACATTAACATATAAGTAAGTTTGTAAAAATTATGTGAAGTCCAGGGTATGATACTGGTTGGTTGTCATTGCAAAAGATTTAAAACAACAGTTGTAGTTAAAAATAAATAGAGTAGTGATACTCATACCAAATACTTGCAGTGAATTGTTTAACTAAATAATTTTTAATTAGTTATTTATATAAAATACCACTAAGTAAAGGATTTCACTAAATACATCATATTTATACAAAAAAAAAAATATATATACACATTGGTCGTCATTTGTGCTCTACATTAGTTAGTTTCCTTTTAAGCTTGGCCAGATGTTTGGGTACTAAAACCCACTCCACACCACTAAAATAATCATCGTTCATTCGGCAGTCCAGTAGAAATTGGGCTTGCCTTTGGATCAACCTAAATGCATGGAGAGGACCCAGGTCATTTTGAATGCTACACAGCAATTTTGGGCTTAAACCTTGGGCCCCCTTAAAATCAAGCCCGTGATACATCACCATCTACTACTCATCTAGTATAGCACATTCCTACGATAATTCGGTTGCGTGACGTGACGGCAACGCCACGGAATACTGACCAAATTATTATATGCTTCGATTTTGACTGCAAGGATCGAGGATGTCTGGGGAAATCAATGAGATAACGAATATTCAATTTGAAAAACAATGAAATTAATATTCAATATGATGATTTAAATGTTGAAGAGTTTTTAGAACTATTTGAGGTGGAGAAAAATTAAGGGCAGATTCAGGATTATTGATTGGGGTGAACTAATTTTGAATTGGGCTAATTTTTTTTTTTTTTTTTTTTTTTGACTGGACTAAAAGTAGTATAGTAAAAAAAAAAAAAAATTTCTTTTTTGGGGTGGGCTGAAGCCCTTCCTCCACCCACCCCTTCTTCCGCCCTTGAGAAAAATTAAGTGAAATAGTAAGAAAATTAGGAAAAATGTGAGAGAAGGAAAATAACAAGGTAAGCAGAATAATTACCATTAAAAAAATCCATGTAGTTGATGCATAATTATTATTGAACATCTTATAAAAAATGAACATCTTAAAAAAAAATACATATTTAAACTAATTTCAAATTATAGTCCAAACTTATTAGAACTGATTTTAGATAAGATTTCAACACATCTTCTGCCCACCAACAAG